TATGTATTAATTTGGGGGTCCATATGCAAGATGGTGGTGATAACACAGATAAGGGCCTTACAGTCATATCAGACGCGCCAATTCCTTGAAAGGATCTGGATATTATCAAAAAAAGTAACCACATCCCCAGATTCAGGACATTTAACTGGTTCATTGCCAATAGTGTTAAGTCATTTTTGGATGGTACTGTACGAGCCACAAGGGCTTGAGGCTGCATTGACACTACACCCACCCTTACTACCTGACACGAGATACAACATAGATTAAGCACAAACGTTAGTGGGGCCACAAGGCCACTGTTACGAGCTAGCCTGCCCATTTTTGTTACCCGATGCATCTGTTATGCCCGTGGCACCTTTCAAAAATCCAACTGTGACAGTATTTCAGTGGATAAAAGCTGCTCAAAACAACGCACTAGCCTGCACATCTTTTGTTTACCCGATGCATCTGTTATGCCTGTGGCATCTTTCAAAAATCCAACTGTGACAGTATTTCTATGTTCTAACCAGTCTTTAATATCCCTTTACTGTTGACCAATAGCGTCTGCATCTTCAAGTAAACATTTTGTTTTGCGATTGTCCAGTTGCATTGGCAATGAGAGTCAACTAATCTGTGTCCTATCTACCATCGACGATGTTCTGTGCTACATCTTTTGCATTTAGCGTGTCACATTTAGTCACAAAATGTTCATTTGCTTATTCGTAACATGGCTGACAAAATGTCCTGGGTTGGCGTTAAGAGATGCCTATGCCTAAGTCTTTGTATCACTGCAACTTTGTAGTTTATGCACTTCGTAATGTTTTGTGGACGCAAGTCTGTGCGACCAAGGGAGAGAATTCAACACGACTCAAACAAGGACAATCCATATTTACCAGTAGGTCGGTTTGCAGCGTTGTAGAGGTGATTTTAACAAACAAACAAGTGTTCTTGTAAATGTTGTTCCCGATTTTCTTTAGATTTTTTTAGTTTTATAACACAGATAAGACACCTTTCCTCGGGTTTGGTTAAAGATGCACTTGTGTCTTCAAAGGTGTCCCTCTCCCTCATGTTTTTATCTACAACAAAACCCTCGGGAGCGGTGTATATCCTTCGCGCGGCAGCCCAGTGGTTAAAGCCTTCGCTCACCACGCCGAAGGCTCATTGTTGATTCCCAACATGGGTACAATGTGTGATGCCCATTCCTGCTGTCCTTTAACTTGATATTGCAGGAATAGTGCTAAAAGCGGTGTAAAAACATACTCACTCACATTACGTGATAGACAATAATATGTTGGGGACGACACAGCGGATATGTAACAATACCCTCAACTTCCGGTCAGGGGAACATTCGAAACCGAATGACCGGAAATGCTGATGCACGTCTACCGTATTGTTCAAATATATTTATTGGATAATTGTCTTCAGGCAACCATCATAAACCACCAACAACCACCAATCACCAACAATCACCACCAACCACCGACAGCAACCACCGTTCGGTTTTCAATGATAACTTGAGATTGCTTCATCTGTCACCAAATGTTCCTTGAAACGAGTCTAATCACTTGTTACACTTCTTGTGAAATTAGTTCCATGAAAAACCGTTAATTACATAAACCTCCACTCCCTGTGTATCTGTTTTCAATACCACAATACCACTAAAATAGTTTTAAGGGATATAGATAGGACCCTCTGAGGACCGAAAGAACCTTTGGATTTCCGTCCTGAGACTGAAGTTTCAAAACGCTCTAATCATGGAGTCATCGAGGCACATTCCATGCAGCAGAGAGAGAACAATGGGAGATGCTATTAAGGCAATGGAATGATTCCCCACGCATCTTCATGGTTTCAGAATTGGTGAGACCGCCTCCATGGTCTAGTGGTAGAGCGTCCACCCGGAGATCGGAGGGTCCGGGGTTCGAACCCCGGCCGCGTCATTCCAAAAGTCGTTAAAGATGGTACTTGTTGTTACCCTGTGTGGCGCTCAGCATTAAGGGGCTAAAACAAAGGACTGGTCGACTCAGAGTCAGTATACTGTGTCTGAGTGGGGGTATTCATGTTAAACTGCGGCATGGTATCTCTATACCAGCACTTTGCTAGCACTATAAACCGGCATCAGTCCGGACTAGTACAGGCACACACACACACACACCACACACACTTTCTGTTGCACATACGGTATTCACTTTCTAAATGGGCGTTTCACCAGCGATGCACAGGGATTATTCACGTGTTTTGCAAACACTCGGGCCAGCATTGTCGATTATTTTGCTGCTTCAACTGATTTATTTTATTCATTATCAGACTTTACTGTTCAGACACGTACTGAATCAGACCATTTCCCAGTTACTTGTAGTCTTAAGTGTAGACCTAATGTGATAAAACCTGCAGATCTAATTGAAAAAAGTGTCACTTCAATACCGAAATATATATGGCGTTCTCAGAACGTTGAACTTTTTTATGTATCTTTGAAAGACATATTACTTGAGATGCCAGTTGGAGATATATCTCAGTGTACTACCTCTTCTCAAAAAGCAGAACATTTGACATCTATAATTAAAGAGAGTGCTGAGGACAATGGTATGGCTGTGCACAACAGTCGTAACACTAACTTTAGCAGGTGTGCTTCTTTGCCGTGGTTTGATGCAGAATGTGAAAATATGAAACGCTACAAATACAAACTGTTAGACATGTTTAGAATTAGTGGACATATAGATACTTTAAAGAACTTTCATGTAGTCGGCAATAGATTCAGAGAAATATGCCAGTGAAAAAGGATGTATTTGAAGAATCTGCTATTGTACATATTCTTAACTGTTGTAATGATAAGAGAAATTCAAAAACATTTTGGTCCGAACTGAAATTTCACCTTCGAAAGCCACCCGTGACAGGACCCAGTATTGGTGTTTCTCAGTGGATTGATTACTTTAAAACTGTTTTGAATATTACTGATAATGTAACTGATGTGGATTTTGTTGCGTCCTGCAAAGCTGTTAATACAGAGCATCCAGTTAAAAGCATGAATTGTCATGTGTGTAACGATGACGGTGTTGACAGTTTACCAAATCAAGATATAACGGCTAAAGAGGTTTCAGAAGCCATAGATTCCCTCAAATGTGGTAAATCAGCTGGTCCTGGTGGTATTTTACCAGAGATGATAAAGTATGGCAGTGATGTTTTAATTCCACATCTTCTAGTTCTTTTTAACAACATTCTGTGCAGAGGTAGTTTTCCAGATCAATGGTCTGAAGGAATTATCTTTCCTCTCCATAAGAAAGGTAATGTTCATGTTGTTAACAATTATAGGGGCATTTCCTTGATAGATATTTGTGGTAAGGTTTTACCCAGGTTTTGAATAATAGATTAGACATTTTGTTAAGTTATAAGATAAGCTCCCGGAATGTCAGGCTGGCTTCCGAAAAGGATATTCCACAGTGGATAGCAAGTTTATTCTTCAATCATAAGTGCAGAAATATTTGTCTAAGTCAAAAGGAAGATTTTACTGTATGTTCATAGACTTTCAGAAAGCTTTCGACTCTGTTAATAGGGATCTTCTTTGGCTTGTTCTGCATTCAAATTGAATTCATGGGAAAATATTTCCTATCATACAGGACATTTATTCTAAAACTCTTGCTTGTGTTAAAATTTCAAAGAGTAGCATCTCAGATTATTTGAACAGTCTCAGTGGTGTACGACAAGGGTGCGTTTTATGTCCTCTTTTGTTTTCGTTATTCATAAATCAGTTGGAAGAGAACTTCCGGCAGTGTGGTGGTAGAGGGATATTTGTACATTTACTGGAATTATATGCCGATGACTTGTGTATTTTTGCAGATTCAGTTCTTGAACTACAGAAAAAGGATTGACTTTTTACACAAATTTTGTAACAAATGGGGTCTAAAAGTTAACATGGATAAAACTGATATCTTAGTTTATCGTAATGGTGGTAAGTTAAGGAACTACGAGAAACGGAAACTGGGGCATATGCCTTTCAAGGTTTCAACATATTACAGTTATTTCGGAATTATATTTTCAAACAGGCTGTGTCGGACGAGAACAGTTCAGCTTTAATTCCTATAAAACAGCTCAGTTATAAACTTCAAAATATCGCCCCTGAAGTGTTGTTTAAAATGTTCGACTCTCAGATTAAACCTATTATTTTATATGGTTCAGAGATTTGGGGTGTTCATAAATGGTTGTTTCCCGAACGTTTCCAAGCGAAGTTTTGTCAATCTGTTTTGGGGGTATTAGTTCCAAATCTACAAATATTGCAGTGCTCGGAGAATGTGGCCGATATGGTATTTATATTGATTCTTATACAAGATGTTAAAGATACTGGTTTAAGCTTCTTAATATGTCTCAAGAGAGATTTCCAAAACGGTGTTACAATATGTTAGTTAGGTTTGATGTCGTTGGCAGAAATACATGGATTTCTGCTATTAAGAATATGTTATATTCTCATGGCTTCGGACATATGTGGGAATTTCAAGGTGTTGGTGATTCTGAATATTTCATAAGTGAGTTTATACTGAGGGTTAAGGACTGTCATCCACAAACATGGTATTCTGAAGTGTCTGGATGCTCGAAATTAGAACTGTATTTATTATTTAAGACACCATTGCCGGCTGAGCTAATTGATTGAAGCGTGGTTTATTTCACGATAAAGCATTGTTCTGTCATGACGTCATTTCTGGAGATTCGAACCTGCGCTCGCAATTTGATGACGTCATATATTGAATGACGTTATTTTTGAGAGGGGAGTGTCTAGTGAGTTGTTCCCCATAGATGTAGCTGGGCAACGCAGATAAACGCGATGGCCGAACAATCGCATCCAAAAACGGGAGAGATATGACAATCGGTATTGGGAGAAAAGGTACAGGTAATCGTCGTGATGATTGTCAGAATATGAGGGAAATATCCACCTGTGCATAAAATGGACTTATCCGACATTGCCAAAGTCGGATTCTATTGAGAGAGTCGTCATTATTTCAATAAGGGAAAAATATTTTAAAGCTTGTACATTTTATCACTATCTTTAATGAGGTGGTACATAATGTTGATATATCATATAAGAAATAAAGTACTCTACAACGAGTCCTATATTTCTTAAAATAAATAATTATAAATCACTGTAGGGACAGCTGCATCACCTTATGTCATTTAATCAGATGTGACCCAAACCACCCACTCTCTACAAGTACATTGTAGGCTTGCCACACATCAGGCGGTATCTCCTGGGCAACCTGGAAACCTCGCTCTGCATACAGCGGCAACCTCTGCATATCCCCGACCAACACGGATATGACGTCAGCAAGAGTCCCTACGTCACTGTTCGGATAATCCATCATGGAAGTGTTCTGTGACGTCACCATGATGTTACACGGTCGAGGCCATTGCTTCATAAAGGTGGCGTAGGCTCGACGTTCCATGAACGGTTTCTGGACCAGAATGAGCGACTCTACTGTTATGTTTCTCATCGTTAAGAGGGCGTAAGTAAACCTGGCATTTTCTCCACTGTTTGTTGACTGATTTTCCACAATGATGCGGTCCTTTGGCACTCCTTTCCTGGTGGCTAAGTCGAAAAACATCTCCGCCTCCGACTTCGGCCATTTTCCTATTAAAAAAATTATTATTATGAACTTAGGGTCAGTCAGTCTGTTATTGCTGATGCGGCGTTAAACACTATTCACTCACTTAAACACAAGAGACAAATATCCTTATCGATATGGCCTTAATGTTAATGGGTGAGTTAGATTTTTCACCGCTATGAAAAATATTCCAGTGATTTCGCAGTGATTCATGTATGGATTTGAAAACGAATAGTTATTGTGTCGAGTTAACGCTTTAAACGCTAGACTACACAACCGCCCGGATGACCCATAACTGTTTTTACATAACACGTGCACTGCCTCAAGGAAGGTTGGTAGTTCGATCCCTGGTCGCTTTACGCCATAAGATGTTAAGAGAAGGTACTTGTTGTTACAAGGAATGACGCTCGGTATTGAGGAGATAAAACATGTACAGCTCGGCTCGGAGACAGTTTAATGTATTTGAATGGGGTATCCACTGTCAAACTGGGGCGGTCGGGAGCCTAGTGATAAAAGCGTTCGCTCGTCACGCCGCAAATCTGGGTTCAATTCCCGAAAAGGGTACAATATTTGAAGCCCATTTCTGGTGTCCCCCGCCGTGATATTGCTGGAATATTGCTAAAAGCGGCGTAAAATCAAACTCACTCACTCACTGTCAAACTGCGGCCAGGTATAACGTGCAAGATTTCCTTCACTTTAAATTACCAATGCACCATACTTATTCCTGATAAACCTCTGAGTATAGGTTCTATATCCTCTTTGTCCAGCTTTGTCCTAAACAGATAGGTACTGTTACTCTTAGTACTGCTTCACTCTTGGAAGCTTTCTGTAAAAACACAATCAAATATGAACTCTTATACTGAACATACATTTGAAGATTCAAATCCATCCCACCTATCCCACCAAACACCCTGTTTGGACCTTCATAATGGTTGGTGAAATATTTTGGAATCCTGTGACGATCTGGGTTAGAATTGGTCTTTAGCAACCCATGCTTGCTGTAAAAGGCGACTATGTTTGTCGTACGAAGCGACTAACGGGATCGGGTGGTCTGGCTCGCTGTCGTGGTTGATGCATGTCATCGTATACAATTCGCGTAGATCGATGCTCATGTTGTCCATCACTGGATTGTTTTGGTCCAGCCTCGAGTGCGGCGTGACACAACAAACAACCAAACAAACGAAAATCTTTTGGGAACGAAAAATCATGGATCTGGAGCTTTTATATTGTTGAATATAATACGTTTGGTGTCACTTCCTTTGCCGCTTACTCTGATCTCGATGGACATGCGACACTGCTGTAGCATACACTACTATATATTCAGCTCATGCATATCATAAATATACCCCTGTCAACAAGATGCACGACAAGGGACGCTAAGAGTGAGTGAGTGAGGTGAGTTCCAGCCGCTTTTAACAATATTCCATCCATATCACGGCGGGGGGACACCAAGAATGTGACCATATGGGGAGTCGAACCCTTGTCTTCAGCGTGAAGAGCCAACACTGTGACCACAAAGCTAACCAGAGAATCTAATAACTCCAATGCGTGGAGCCCATGTCAGGCCAATTAGAATTGGCATACGGGGGATGAGGATCTATTAATTTTGACATATACAGTATTTTACCTTTTGTCAACAATCCACTTTTTCCAGACATAACGATCCAGTCCGCCATGCCCCTTAGGAACAGGTCAGAGGCCACTTCCGCTACTCTAAGATCATTGCTGCCCAATGCTATGATGACATCACTCTGCGATTGGTTGGTAAAAACGGAAATTTTAGCACTATATGTTGAAGTTCTCAATTACGAGCTCTCATAACTACGGTGGCCCATGAGGGACATGGAGTCTGTTTTTCCATATTTTGATATTTCACTTACTTTTATCGTAACCTTTTGCAAATTAACACGATTTGTCTTACATATATGTGATAAATCATGTGTAAAGAAGATATTGAATCGGTGAAAAGTGAAACGAAAAATGTCAAAAACTAAATTGAAAATGTCAAAAACAAAAGCGAAAATGTCAAAAACTAAAATGAAAATACAGAAAACTATTTCCGCCGCGGTGATAATATTATCACCGCGGTGGAAATAATATCCACGCGGTGGGAATATTATCACCGCGGTGGAAATAGTTTTCTGTGGTTTCATTTTAGTTTTTGATATTTTCATTTTAGTTTTTGACATTTTCGTTTTGGTTTTTGACATTTCCATTTTATTTTTTGACATTTTCGCTTCACATTTCAGCGACTCAATAGCTACTTGAAAATATATTTTCCATGTTTTCGGATGTTTTAATACATGATTTATCACATATTTGTATGACAAATTGTGTTAATTTGCAAAAGGTTACGATAAAAGTAAGTGAAACATCAAAATATTGAAAAACAGACTCCATGTCCCTTATGGGCCACCGTACTTATGGGCCACCGTACATAACTATCGAATGATTGCCTCAATGTCGTTGTACGCCACATTCAGCAATACTCCAGCAAGTCGGCAGGTAGATTAGCGAGTCTGGGCCACGATATGATGATACATAACCAGCCAGGTCAGGTATTGTGATGCTTTTTCAGTTGCCTCTTTGGACATAGTGATTTGTTAGTGAGTATGGTTTCGCGCCGCTTTTAGCAATATTCCAGCAATCTCACGGCGGGGGACACCATAAATGGGCTTCACACATTGTACCCATGTCGGGAATCGAACCCGGGTCTTCGGCGTGACGAGCGAACGCTTTAACCACCAGGCTACCCGACCGCCCCTGGACTTTGCGTTTGTTCTTTGAAACATTTACGTATTTTTAACTTTAATACCACAATTGTGGGTTAGCTGAACTATTTTAAAAGACCTATTCCTGTGATATTTGGATATCTGAACATTGAGCAAAATTTTGACCAAAGTTCTTCCCTTAGTAAATGTTAGTAAAGGTATCTCAAACAAATGCCGAAAAAACATTCTTTGGTAACAAACTTACAAACTGTCATTTAAAAAAAATGACATTCCAGGGTCAATATCCTTTTCTCAATATTATTTCATAAGGACTCGATCCCAGTCGTACCCCACCTCACCTAGTCTGCTCACTACCGCAACACCAAGTGATCTAAATATTTGTTTGATATTTGACGACTAGTGACAGTTGGTCATAAACGTCATCCGAATGTCGGGCCCCTCCACAACGTGATCGTTGCGCTACGACTGTCGTAAGTCTGTGTTAAAGTGTTACGATCGTCTTGGCTCCTCGATCATTTTGTGGAACGGGGCCCTGGTATGGACAACGAGTAAACAACTCTCACATTGTTTACACGTAGGGTGAAGTGAGATCCTACCTGTGTGAGAGACTGGTTGAGTTTCATGTAGTCCCATATTTTCTGCGCTGCGTCCAGATTTCGTATGCTGAGCGCCGAGCTAGTCTTCTTTGCAGCAACAAGCGCCATTTTGGAGAGGTTCTAAAACTGACTGGGCGTGGATCATTCCACACCACTCGCCCCTTGCTGTATGTAAACTACAAGAAGAATCTTTACTATATAATGTGTCAATGTGCGAAAATACGACAAACGAGTCACAAAACACGTATGGGTAGAAGTACTTTGGTAAAATAAAAAAAACTCCTTAAGGGACCGACCATTAAATATTCTGGGGGTGGGGGAAAGGTGATGGGGGTGATGGGGTCTGATGGGCTTTTTAAAAGTTTTATCCCTAAAAATTAATTGTCCCAGAAAATTCTTTAAAGAGATAGTTATGCTTCAGACAGATAAAACATGTCTGCAACAAAAAATACATTGTTGCAAGGTATTTTTCTTACAAAAATATTCAGGCTCATGATTTTAATTAATTAAATGTCTGGTTTTGCAACTGAAACTGAAAAAAATTTCAGCCTCACAGAATACATATATATTTTAAATGATAGATATGTCTAATAATGTGGCAAAGTGACAACAGTCTGAATTGTTTTACCATATTGAATAACAAGTGATTGTTAATGGCAACCGTGTTATACTTAGAAAATATCCATGCAAACTTACAAAGCCATAGCGAATGTGGTTTAAGCTGACTATGTTTTAAGATATGCGGTTGGACCAAATGGCCGGGGCAGGGGTTCGAGTCGCTATTTGGCCTAATCTGGAATGGCACGAGTAGCACCAGTGGTCACGAATGGGCGTGTATACGACATACATCTGACAGAAAGAGTGAGCCTGCTTAGTGCTAGTTTTAACCGTATCTGAGATATATGTAAAAAAACAGAATTGACGCTGGTCATCGACATTTATTCTACTGTGCGTGTAATATATTAATCATCTGGGCTTCGAACCCAATAAATCCTAGCATCGAAGGAACACTGCGCAGCAAAGTACAGTGCTTTAAACAACTTAATTGTGTGTGTCCCTGTTTTGCATCTTCCCGAGGCAAGGGTGTTAACTGTTTGTTTGTTTGTTTGTTTGTTTGTTTGTTTGTTTGTTTGTTTGAATAGAAGTTGGTGGTGCCTTGTCCACATGGTTTCTGTGTCCGTTTATGTCAAATACGTGTTGTGGATAAAAACATTACAGTTTGGCTCCTCCGTTAATTCTCTTGGGCTCCCCACAAAAAGCAGCCGTGATATAACTCGAATACTGTTAAAAGCGGCATTTAACTCAACTCACTCACTCACTCACTGTATGATTCAGGAGTCAGGAACAGACAATCCAGTGCTTGACATCATGAGTATGTATCTACACAACTGGGATACGATGACATGCGAGTACCAGCTTGTAAGACGTGGCAGTTATTTTGAAAACTCGTAATAAATAATCAGTTATGTAATAACCAAAATATCTAGATATTCAATAATCCTGTCATATTCCTGTTTATACAATTCAAGATAATCTAGTTCTGGCATACGAACACCTTGTAGGGTAGGCCCTGTTGTCTGTTGAAGTCGATCCGAAAATGATCAACAAGTCTCTTTTTGAGACCATAAATCATTTGTTTAATAAAACAATTACCCCTTTTCCATTCTTACCCCCTTCTCAGCTTCACCAGCCTACCTGTAATTAAGAGACCTCATACCTGAGTGTTCCTTCATAGAAATATTTCACTTTCACCTTATACATAACTTGGGGGGGGGGGGGGTAATTTGGGGAGGGGGCTCTATGTTCAACACTCACTCGTGGAAACAAGGAAAGCTTAGTTTATCGAAAGCTTTGTTTATCAGAGAGCTGTTGAACACGACCGCTTCCATAGTCTAGTGGATAGTCTCCCCTGCCCGGAGTGGTTCGATTACCGACCGCGTATAACGAGACGATGTTAAAAGATGGTGCTTGTTGTTCTCTCCCCGTGCCCGGGTAAACACGGGCTAGAGCAAGGACTGGTCGGCTCGGAGTCAGTATACTGTGTCTGAGTGGGGTATTCATGTTGAACAGCGGCATGATATATCTCAGTAGGCTAGCACTGTAAACCATGCATTAGTCCGAACTACCACAACCATCCACACACACACACGCACGCACGCGCTCACGCACTCACGCACGCACGCACGCAAGCAGTCACACAAGCAGTCACACGTGCATGCAAGTCGCAATGTAAGTGCAATAGTCTTGAACGCGACCTTAAATCCCACTTCACCTGAATTCTTATCTCCACACGTTGGGTTTGGTGGCACACGGGGTTAGGCTATCTCCACATCCGTGACCAACTCGTGTTATTCCGGGACAAGCCGAATAGCGATCTTCTTGCAGGTTACGGAAAGGGGCGAGTGGTGACGAATGGGTACAAACTTACCTTGCGCAATGTGGCTGGGAATGTGTCGCCGTTTTCCACCAGAGCCGGGAGTGTCGGTTTCTTCAAAACATGCACCACGAGTGCAGTAACACCCTCAAGTCGTCAGTATCTAGTTAGGTTGGTTTCTTCGTGTGTCCAGCCCCACATTGCAACGACAACGGTGTGTGCAAATGTCTCGCTGAGTGACTACGTGGCGCTGACACGGAAAATATATTATGCTTCAATATTAATGCACCTTATCTATCTGTGCCTGTGTGTTTAAACTGGACTGGCCGGACTCGCCTGGGAAGTCGTAGCGACACATACTTTAGTTTACAAGGTAACCCTCCTCCGTGGTTGCCTCGACGTGTAAACCGGCACGTGAATCTAGACAGGTTGACATGTGCGTGCATAAGCTTTACTGATTGAGTGAATGACTGACTGAGCGGATGGGTGGGTGGGTGGATGGATGGGTGAGTGGGTGGGTGGTTGTGTGGGCGGTCGGGTAGAGTGAGTGAGTGAGCGAGTGAGTGAGTGAATGGCAGTTAGATATCATCTTCCCGGAGCAAGGTAGTTAACTTACTATAAAAATCCAGTTTCCACCCTTGCCGAACTAGGCTGGAATTATGGAGTTATATCTTGGCTGGACTAACGAGTCCGGTCCATACAAAGTCGCGTAACGAAATTGACATCCAGTTCGTAAACTGCCGTGCACATTTCGATTGATTGCAGGATTTGTAAAGCATGTGTACCGCCAACTCGGCGTCAACAGATATTTTCCAAATCTTTTCATGTTTTTAATCAAGGCGCTGAAGTGATTTGATGCACTTCGCGAAATAAGAAACGTTTTATCACAATATAGATTTTGATTATCGATCAGATCCATTCGTGACCAACTCGTGTTATTCCGGGACAAGCCGTCTTCTTGCATGCTACAGAAAGGGGCGAGTGGTGACGAATGCGATCAGATCGTCTTGACGGGGCGCCGCCATTTTGTTTGAAGTAAAGCAAGTAATATGAGAGGTGGAATCTGATTGGTCAATACGAGATACGTAGAAGGACATGACTCGTAAAAGCCACTGGTGGCGCGACGATCAAGCCCAGAAATGCCAGCCGAGTTCGGCAACGGTGGAAAATGGACTGTAGCAGTCATTTAACTCCCTTGCCACGGGAAGATGGTTAGATATACCTGTGGCGCTAACGAGATATGGGATGCATATGATTGGCCTTAAAGGATCGTCATATTGTTGGTTGGTTGGTTTGTTGTTTTACGCCGTACTCAGCAATATCCCAGCTACATGACGGCGGTCTGTAAATAATCGAGTCTGGACCAGACAATCCAGTGATTAATATCATGAGCATCGATCCACGCAATTGGGATCGATGGCATGCATCAACCAAGTCAGCGAGCCTGACCACCCGATCCCGTTAGTCGCCTTTTACGACAAGCATAGTCGCCTTTTACGGCAAGCATGGGCTGCTGAAGACCTATTCTACCCAGGATCTTTACGGGACGATCGTCATATCGACTGCACAGGCTAGATAGCCGACGTATGTGAGTTTTTACAAGAAAAGGACCGCCACAAGCTTGATTTCAGAAGTACTGATTATGACTAGTCGAGCTAGGTGTTCAGCAGGAGGGAGACTAGCCGTATATACAAAAAAGACAGCATAGATACACGGGAAGCTACAAGAGACTCGGGGATCGCCCCTTTGTGTGACCCAGTGAAGACGTGTTTACATGGAGAGTTGGTTAAATCCAAATGAAGCACAAGAAACAGTGTGGTTGTAGCCCATGGGTCTACGACCTAATTTCTACTTATGTTCTACTTACATTAAGATGGTTGCTTTTGTTTTAAACAATAACAATCGTTACGTTTAATTGTTACTTGCTTTGACAGTGTATATCAATTGTCCATGAACTTTTATTAAATGTTACATGAACGTTATATCTTAATACGTGAATAACATGTTCATCGACTGTGGTCTAGTCGATAGGATGTCTGCACGGCGAGTGGCAGGTCGGTGGTTTCCATCCCCGGCCGCGTCAAAACATGGTACTTGTTGTTACCCTGCCTGGCGCTCGGCATTAAGGGCCTAAAACAAGGACTGGGCAGCTTGGAGTCAGTATACTGTGTCTGAGTGTGGTATTCATGTTAAGCTGTGGCATGTGGGCTAGCACTATAAACCGGCATCATTCCGGACTAATACAATAAGCCACGCACACACGCACGCACGGGAGCGCATGCATGTCGCTGTATAAATGCAATAATCTTGACGCAACGTTAAACCCCATTTCACCTCGACTCACCTCACCTCACCTCATCTCACCTCACCTAACCTCACCTCACTATCTTCGTTAAAGTCGCCTTTTACGGCAAGCATGGGTTGCTGAAGACCTATTCCACCCCTGATCTTCACGGGTTCACCTCAACATGTTCACCAGTTGCCTTCTATACTGTCTATGAATAGTTGAATAGATATCAAGTAGGACACACAACAGCCGCGAGTTCGTATGAAATTAGCTGGAACTGTTAGTCGAATAGACTCGAAGATCCGGGTGGAATAGGTCTTCAGCAAACCATGCTTGCTGTAAAAGGCGACGATGTTTGTCGTACGAAGCGACTAACGGGATCGGGTGGGCAGGCTCGGTGACATGGTTTGTGCATGTCATCGTATCCCAATTGCGTGGATGGATGCTCATTATGTCAATCACTGGATTGTCTGGCCCAGACTCGATTATTTACAAACAGCCGTCATGAAGCAACAAACAAACAAATGTTAGTGGAAAAACGCCATCTTATCCTGAGTTCCAGAACAGAACTACAAGAGGCGCTCATAAAACATCCAACACCCTCGCCATCATCATCAGCAGCAGCAGCAACGATAAAAACAATAATCAAATTCAGATTGAATCACCTCTTTATATGCTTATTCTAAAGACAATGATTATATTGTGCTTTCGAAGAGGCAGATAACTGTAAAAGCTTTTGGCTTCTCGACTTTGGTCTTTAATTTTTGAAACATTCGCATTTGAACATTTGATCATTAACTACTACCCGTAATTCAGTGGTTGAAAATGATACTTGTGAAATTGTTCATGGTCTTAATAAGTAATTCCCTTTTAATTTTAATTATTTCTCATGCATGAAAATGATGCTATGGTTTATTTTCCGTAGGGATGGCAGTTCACACGGCGGTCGCCGATATACCAGTTTGTATTACAACCTCCACAGGAGTTGCCTCTGAAAAAGAAACAAATTAAATAAATTGACATATACAGAAGTTCTTTTATCAAGGAACAGCTACTCCATTGCACATACAAAACACTTCAGAAAAGAAAGATGGCTCTCAATATATACGGCCATGTCCATACGGTGTTTCGTTTGACAAAGTATGTTGTAATCTGGCTAATAGTGTGCCATCGTAGTGGCAGATGTAGACGGGTGCTCACAATATCAACCACTGGTTCGACTGGACATGTCGCCGAGATATTTTTGTATTATTGTGGTGTGGTAACTCGTCGTTAGTTCATCTGCTACACGGGTACGTTATCTCAAATTGGGTGAGTGAGTTAAAATTTAAAATCACATCGGCAGTATTTCAGCCATTGGATGGTTACCGCTTGGGGTGGTGGTCCAGGGGCCCGAGGTGCCGGCGGGGTCCGCTGGTCGTGAGTTTGAATCCTTGATTCAATCCGATTATATAAGCATGAAAACGTGCTCTTTGGATTTGCCAAAATGTTTAACAAGGGGAACAGCATGTTTACTGGTTTCAATGAGTTGAAATGCCGTTATATAACAGAAATAATGTTAAAAGTGGCGTTAAACTCACTCACCCACTCACTCACTCAGTCAAACACTCACATTATAGATAGGTAATATGTTCAGGGTATCATTACACGTAAGAGGGTAATACTTACACGCATCTTGCATCAGGAAAAGCTGGACATGTGGCAAACCGGCAAGGATCATCAACACAATTCACAATTGGTACGTGAGGAGGACACCTTCCATATAATGACCCTGCAATAAAAGCAGAACGATAAATAATGGTGATGCTCCTACGGAACGAAGAAACAAAGCTACTAAAACGCACATACTCCAACATTTATTCTCAACTCAGCGACCGACCAATCTGCCTTTTTGCGGGGAGCCCAAAGGAATTAACGGAGGAGCCAAACTGTATGTTTTTATCCACAACACATATTTGACATAAACGGACACCATGTGGACAAGGCACCAGTATTCCATTTATATCGCGGCGTGTCACCTTAATGTGGGAGGAAAGCCCCAAGTGATGCAGGTCCCAGACGTTTACCACTTCGGTGAAACCCACGAGCACGGGTATGGTGCTGACAAACATAGAAACATAATCGGGGCGAACCAGGATTCGAACCCACGATCATAGGTTCCTGGCGTGCCAAAGGTACGCAACTCTGCACAGCGAAGCGCGGTGCCTTAGACGACTGGGCAACCCGTGCCCCCCGTTAAAAGTAGTAATACTCATATATTGTATAACTAAATTAAATTTATAAATCTAAATCGTCATCACAAGGTGTTTGAGTCAAACGATCATCGATATTGTGATTCACTTACCCGAAACGGTGGCGAATAGAAGGATCAGGAGTATCAAAGAGATCTTCATGTTTTACTGCTTTACCGTGTACGTGTGATGTCTCAGGACGTTCAAGCACTGTGCCACTCGTGTGGCTTGAAGTATTTATACTCTCGTAAGACATTTATATTTTTCCACCTGCTGACATGTAACATGTTTCCTGTAGCCCCAGGGTATGTCGACTTGTTTGTTGATGAGCAATGTCATTGAAAGGGACATGCGACTTATAAATTATGAAACATTTCAATTCAAAAGAGGATATGAATTCAACGCTACTGTGTCTTGAGCCGTTTTAGTTGTAAATTTATCGTTTGTATTTCTGTAAGTAGTTAATTCCAAACATTTATGAAAAAACTCACTTATTGCTAAGATGAGAAATACTTTGGAATTTAATAATTAATAATTTGTACCAAGAAATACTGTTTAAAAATACCCCACCACACACAGCGTGCGTATAGTTAATATGTTCTATCCCAAACAGGATTTTAACCATTTTAAGACTGAACAGTATTGATACCGTAAAGACAAAACCATCCCCATAATTTGACTTTGCACGGGTTGTTCATGACAATAGAGCTGAGATAGATCTACCAAGGCCCACTTATGTCTGAAGTACGCCTTCACAGTTGACACCCAATGTCATCTTCGTGTGTTTAATGTCTTCCTTAATCATCTCCAAAATAGATGCACTCTGCTATGCAAGTCACAAATGAA